TAAAACAAATAAATAAAACAACACTGCCGAATTCTATAAAGCAAAGCCCCACTTGACAAGTCTGTGCAGCATCTCAAACCAGATCAGACAGAAAATGTTCAAGTGCCTATAGTAGAAACATTCAGAGATCTACATCTTTAGAAAAGAAAAACAGCAATAAACGTTGTGGGACGTTTATTGCTGACTATATATATGCTGACTAGGGCTGGGTGAAAAAATCGATTCCTTTACATTTTTGCAAAATCTATGTCTAGGGAATGTGATCGATTAGTACATGACGTTCACATTCAAGTGAGCAGGAAAGATGCACTCAAGATCACTTCAAGCCAGATAGCTGCAGATATAGCCAATAGGTTGACTGAAGACATTAACAAATGGGGGCTGACCAGCAAACACCCTGTAGTTGTTACAGACAACGCTACATATGGTTTGTGCAGTGGAGATAATGCAGCTCATGCATGTCTGAGTGAGTGAGGCTTCATGTTTTTCCCACTTTTCACAAACAAGTTTGCACTTGTGAGACAGTTTTGTTCACATATCAAGTTTAAACTGTCTGATTTACAAGTTTGCACTTTGTGTTTAACGCGATAGGAAAAAATCAAATACATGAGTATTTTGAAACACAGTTAAACCACTTTCATTATTGTAAAAACAGATCGAATCGAAATTAATCAATTAGAACTTTATTAATTAAAATCGAATTGATTCAAGACTTTGGCGAATATACCTAGCGTTAACGCTGACTGAGGCAGAGAGGTGAATCTGGGAAGTTTATTGAAGTTTTTCTTTGTTTCTTAAAGAGGTGAGAGATACGCTGCTCTCATCTGATTTTTCTGCCTCTCGTTAGTTTATTTATGTCAGGCTCAGAGAGGATCACTATTTTACTATATAAGTGTTTTTCCTACTTCTGAAATAATTTTTTCTAAGGAGATTGATAAACTGCGCTTTCTGTAACCTCCTTGTTTCTGCGAGGCTCAAAAAGGACCACTACTATAACCATTTTCTGTTCTCCTGAACTATCATGGGTAAAGTATTATATTTTTAATGTTTCATTCATTGTTTTTGCACAAGTCTTTCCGGCTTACTGTATACCCAATGTCGCGACTCTAAAACTGACTCTTCTCCCGTGCGATTAACAGATTTTATTTTGTATTTTTCCCACAAAGCGGATTGTTTTTTACTATGTAACCGCGTCTCTTGATTCTGAATTGCTGCATAGTCTGACTAAAATAAACCTGGGGTCTATCTCATTGGGACCTATACAGCTCCTTTTCGTAAAAATCATGTCAGGTGTGACAATCCCCATTGTCTTTCAATGAGCGCCAAACGCCATGACCTCGTCTGACAATTTTCTGTTGGATTAGACTCAAAATTGGATTTGGTGTGTTCTGGCCTTTAGCCTGTAGTTGTGGTCTCATTAACTTGAAGCACATTTGGAAGGTTTCCCATGATCCTCCCTGACCTCCAATTAGACAGAGTGTGAAACTTCTCTCCAACAAATAAACATTTTGCTGAAATCCTTTTAAATAGTGACAAAAAAAATGCTAAACTTCATTCGCCTAGATCAGAAATACATTTGTTACTTATTTTAAAGTGTTGAAAGTTATAAAAGGCTTGAAGAAGTGATATTTATCCAAAAGAGAACAATACATAACATCAGGTATGAGGACAACTGACCCATTTCCCATTCACCAGAGTTACATAAACTTTAAATTAAATTGAATGGAGGTGAAGTGTTTTTATAAGATTTCTAATATCAGAGATTTTAGAGGCAGGCCGATATATTTTGATTAGGGTTCAGTAATACGGCTTAAAATATAAAAAAAACATTTCCTAAAGATTAATCATTAATCAATTTTCTTCTCATTTTAAGGTTCAAAATAAATTATTTATATTGCATTTTTTTTTTAAAACAATCACCCCTTCTAGGAGTTCTTAAAAAACTGTAATCACATGAACAATCGATCGATTAATCAACCAGCCTTCATTCCAATATAAATATTTTTAGCGGCGAAGAAATAACTAGGGTAAAAAAAATACAAAAGAAGAATAAAACAGACAAAAATAATATAACATGCACATAAATAAATACTTGAAAATATAAGTAATTAAAAAATAAAGTTGAAGATTATAAAGGACAAAAAAAAATAAATAAGGTAAATATTACAGAGGCAAATAATTAAAGAAGCCAATTAAGAGTTATATACATTTATGTTTCACTGTATAATTTAATTTCTACTTACATTTATTTGTTTATTGTATTTTTGGTGGCAATTAATTGTATGCTTATTTATTTATTGAGCATTTATTTATTTATTTATTTCTGTATTTATTTTTAAATATGGCAGAGTTGGTCCTCCATAGATATCAGACCGATTTCTGATATCAATATCTGATCGGTACATCCCAACTGTAAGTGAACCCGAATGAGTGAATTGGCTATTTTTAATACTCAGTCCTGGAATAGATGCAGAATTTGCCTCACTAAAAACTAAAGTTCACAGATTATACGGTGAAGCAAGCAAAGGTAAAACCAGTTTGACTACATAGAGGAAATATTATATCCACAAGCAGCCAGGTTAAGCCTCCATCCTTCACCTGCTCATGGTGTCGTCATCATCAGAGTCACAGAAACTGGTGGTCTCCAGCTCGCTGCTCATCACCGTACTGGAGCTTTCGTATCCTGCCAGGTGGCGCTCCAGGCGGCTCTGACCGTTCATGCGGGGGCCTTCAAATAAACAGAAGAAAAAAAGAAAATATTCTCAAGTTTTTTATTTGTTTCTGTTTTTGCGAGTGGAAAACATTCCACAGTAGAACATTCCTTGATTGTATCTCTCAGTGTTTGGAGGATGGAGGGAGGCCCAATCTGGATAAATCTCCGTGATAATGGACTGTTTTTGCGAACGCTGAGATGTGCAGTTTCTCACCGTGCTGCTCCACGTTCTCTCTGTGCCGGGGCCTCTCCCTCCTGAAGGAAACCACAGACTCGGTTTCAGTCTGCTCGTCCAACGTCTCCACGCTGCCCGTAGCATTGGGACTGCAAAGAGCCACACAGAAACTCAATATTTAAACTATTTTCTGTGGTTATTATAGCATTGTTTTGTTTTTTTTTTAGGTTATACTATAACCTGGAGGAGTTGTCTCCACACATTATGAGCCCGTCTTTAAACAAAGCGCACCTGATGGTTAGCTTTTAGTTACAGCCAATGATCCGGTTACCTGTCACCTCAATGAGGTTTTTCACTTCTAATACAAACATCTGATATGATCTTATCACATTACAATGAATCCAGAAACAGTCTGAAACTGAAGTGTTCATCTCCTGTGGCTTGAGTCTCTCAGAGAGGATCACATAACAGCAGATCCATCGGCGGCTCAGGTAGAAGCAGCGATTTGTTTTATAATGAAGACGAAACCCAATACAGACACAAAGGCAAATGTTGTGCTGGATGTTAAACCCAGAGAGGTAATTCCATCATAGTGTGAAGAAGGAGCCATTGTCTTCCACTTCAGTGTGTGTTTTTTTTTGCATCATGAAATAAGACTTCCTCCTATTTGTTTGTCTTTAATCTACGGTAAATAACAAAAATCATAAAAAAAATAAAATAAAATGGTTGCTACACATTAGATATCGCTCTGTATTATTGTTTTTGTAACCAAATTACGTCGGGGGGAGGAATGATGTCACACCCGACGTCCCAATGTTCCAGTAAAAACCAGTTAGATTTGCAGTTTGTTGTGCTCAGTGATAGGACTGTTTTACCATGGCACCTCCAGGATGTTTCCTCCACCCACAAATACACAAATTTGGAAAGTAGTTGTATTTAGACCCCTCAACTTGGACACCCCTAAATAAAATCCATTCCTCATGAGTTTACCGTTTCCCCTGCAGTGGCTCCTCCTCCATTTATGGGTCAAAATCATGACACATAATCAAGATTATTATTTATAAAACTATTGTGCAAATCAAATACACATACATGTATACTTTTTTGATAAAAAAAAAAAAAAGATTTGTTTCTCTTCTAAACATGGTACTAAATCAGAAACATATGTCAGAGTTTTACGGCGTCTGCGGTCTGAAGCATTCATAGACTCCTCTCTAGTCTGTGATCATTTCAGGTCTTTACTGTCATGTAAAGAAAGCTAAAAAAGAAGCTAATGGTGAACAAATTGCTCCCCATGCTCATATTTTTAACTATTCTTCATGAGGCTTAAGCAAACTTTCTTTTACTAAGGGTTTAAACACTAATATCACATTGATATTTACGCCCATTGCATTTGATTACCAAATTATGAAGGAAAAAAAGGAGTCCCAACATGTCTGCTAGCTTCTAACTTGCTTCACCAGACCTAACTAAATAAGCTAGGTGGTCCCCAACATATATTTTCCATCAGGGACAATCAGACAAAGTTAAGAATAAATTGACCAACAGATTATTGATTTCCAATTAAGTAAATAATTTAATAAAAAATTAATTTACCTATTGAATTTGTATTGTGAATTGATTCAAACACATTCCAGTTGCTCTAAATCGGTTAAATGTAATCTGACCTCATTTCTATTTCTTCAAGATAAACCTTGGTTCTCAAACACAAATCTATGCTGTTAACTGTGACATTATTTCATTATTTTATTGATTATGGATTTGGAACATGTTCACGATAACTTAGTTTAGTTGAGTTTCAGTAGTTTAGTCAAAAGTTTTTAACCAAAATTTTTTTTTAAATTGAATGATTTTTATCTTAAAAGTTATAGTGGAGGATCTTCGTGAATTTTTGAAAAGACCCTCCCCTCCACTTTAAAAACATTCACATGCACAACCCTGAACCTGCTCCCGAGAGGGATTGTCTATTCAACGCGTGCAAGAGCCCATTTCTCCTTGTGTTCGCTGTTTAATAGTTGCTGTTTGCATCGCTCATACAAGCTTACTTTCCAAAAGATTTGCAATTATCCCTCTATGTCAGACTCACCAAGTAAGTGAAAATGCGGACGTATGGACGTCATTACGTAAACATATCAACAGAATGACTGACAATTAGGAGGAAAAGAAGAAAAAGTATAGTACATCCTGTACTATACCTTAAAGATTTAAAAGGAAGTTGTTGTGAATTTATTTCATATATGTGCAGAGTTAACCGTCTAACCATTACTTGAGCTTGATTCACACTTTGACACAGCTAGTCAGACATGTGTTCAAAGGACAATACATAACAGTCCGAAGATTGTTTGATTATATAACAAAAGTGCCAAACCATTGAATGAAAGTATTTGATGAAGGTAAAATTGATGAAGTCTACAACCTCACAGTCCTTTCAAAACAATAAGATGAAAAACAAAGAGGATGATTAGAAAGCAGCACATAGTTTTTCATTCAGTACATCAGCTAAATATAAAGCTTTAGTTATGGAAGCTTTTGTTTGTCACATGGTGGTTCCATGCAAACCACAGCAGAACTAACAAACCCACCACTTGTAGCAGCTGCAAATCGAGACCTTTCAATGACAGTCATCGGGGGGGGGGACACTCCAAAGCTGTCTTTCTTACACAGTCAGTAGACAGGCTAAGGTTTGCTTAGTGCTTAGTCAGTAAATGCTTTTCTGTTCATTTTGTAGAGAGTTAACGTGCTTTTTCACTGCAAATCCGGTTTAATCCCAACCTTCAGCTCAACAATAATCATGTGACTGGCTGAATGTGAGACGTACAAGCAAATCTGCTTATATTCACCTCAGCTGGTTTTTATTCCGCGTAAAGCTCACTGTTGTCTGGACTCCAGAACAATCACGAATACAAAGAAAGGAAGGAAAAGCTGCAACAGGGAATTTAACTGCTGATTAATTCCCCCAGTAGCTAGTGGACAATGTCTTCTCTTACTCCCCCTTTTCTCTGCAGCTGGGCTGGGCTTCTGTAGGATCACACCCCCTCCTCTATCGTACATCTCAATGGGAATCTGAGGTTCTTCCACATAAATGCTCCGAATACTTCTACACATCCTTAAACCTCATGGATTTACAGAAGCTGCTCTTGCTTGGATGATAAAACTAAACCCTGTAGATTAAGAATATCATGTGATCAGAGGTCCTTAACATTTAGCAGTAGGAAGAAAAGTTATTTTGTTTTCCAACAAACCAGAAATTTCAATCCTAGTCTGACCTAAAAGCAAAGTTTAGCTAACATCATGTCTACCTTTGTAAGAATGGGACAGAAAAGGCTTATTAAATTCAGACCCCCCACCAAACAAATAGCTAATGGTTATTCTGGAGGATTTCTGACTCTAATTTCCCCCCTTTGGATTAGCTTTGAAGACTTCTCACTGCCTAAGCTCACAGAATTCACTTTTTAAATCAATGCTCTGACTTTGTAAAAACACACATTAGCTTGGCCTCAACAAATACATCTCATCATTCCTACTTTTAGGAGCGGCCTAGAAAAAAACTGAGAAGTTTTGTTAAGTGGACCTTAAAGGAAACTGAAATCTTTCAAAGCTTTTCGATCCAATCAGCAATAAAGTTCTGCTGTATTCTTCATACAGACAACCTGAGATTTATATATCGGGGTTTATACAGCAATGAATACTTTAGTGCTTTAAATGCTCTTAGAAACAATTTTAATAACATCAACAAGTACCCATGACCCTGTACCGTCGACAGGCTGCAGCCATGTCCTGAATTCCTCGTTTTCCAGCCACTTTAGCTTTTTTTTCCCGCCTTAAGCTTCTTTTCTGAACGTACAACTTTACGATCAACCGGAAGCAGTTCCTCGCTTATATTGCAATATAATATATTCGAATATAGAATAGAATAGAATTAAAGAATATGTGTATATAATATATGTGAAATTTTCTTTCTTAACATATTTAAAAAATGATAAAATAAAGCATTTTATATGCCAAGACAATCACACTTAATTATTTGTAATCCCAATTAAGGCCTTAATTTAAAAAAGAATAATTTAATGATTTTTAATGACCTGCAGAAACCCTGTATATTAATGGGCAAAACTAGTTTACACTAAACTTAAGTTCAGGGTCTTGAAATTCAGCATCCAGGTTACGTCTGACAGAGTTTATGTGAAAATAAACAAGTGCTTTGCTCACTGAAAGGAGGGAGGTCTGGAGTCCCCAATCCCCCCGGTCCTCTCTGCAGGCGGGGGAGGCAGGGGAGGCGGAGGTGGTGATGGCTGGGAGGCTGTTTCCACAGGGGGGACCACTGCAACAGGAGGCTCTGCAGCTGGAGTCTCTGATGATACCAACTAAAACAACAGACAGGGGGGGGAAAACTCAGCTCAGAGAAACAGGAAGATTGAACAGAACAATAAAACAAATGGAAACAAATCAATACACCCAGACAGAAAGTGAGGAGAGGGTGAGGAAAATCTGCAAGATGAAGGAAACGGCTTTGATGTCAATTACTTTGACATGAAAACACTCGACTCCTTTCAGGCAATCGTCTCAAGGGTGAACCGAAAAGCTATCCTACACTTAACCTGCCTCCCTTCATTATGCGGGGAAATCTGGCCACTCACACGAACAGCGACAATTAGGATGAAAGCCACACGGCATCAGGTTACAGGGCATATAAAAACTGACAGGAAAGGGAAGGAGCCAGGAAAATAGAAGGATTAATGGTTGTGATCCAGTCCTCTCATCACTTTATTGCTGCACAGCCCATGAAATATTCTGGGAAACACTTTCTTTATATTTCTCTTCATGTTTACAGCGAAGTAGCACTCAAAATCTAGATGTGATAAAGAGCATTCTTCTATAATTCAGCTCTGCCTGTAAAAGTAACTCCAAATCGGATTGATCAGCACATGTAGACAGACATCTGGGATCACATATCAGCTCATCTGCTCTGCAAGCTTTGTTCTTATTTTCCTTTAATGTTTTTTTTTTTTTCCTCATCTTATGGATTTAACAGATGCTTCTGCCTCAGACCTGCTTTTCTAGGCCAAGTCCCAAAGTTCTGCCTTTCTTCGGCTCCAAGCAGCAGGGTGGGGTAAAAAAACAGCTGGGAGGATAGGAAAATGTTACAACTGTACTTGGCAAATCACTTTACTGTATCTGTTCACAGGCTGTGCAACATAGAGCTAAGTTAGAGGAGGATGATGTAGATTTTTTTTTTCTCCTTTTAAATCTACACATCACTTCTTTGGTCTTCGAGATGACAGTTGTCATCTGCACAGCCCCACAATCCTGCACTGCAGAAAACTGTCAGTTTTTCCTAAAGTAGGTCTATTTTCCCCTTAATATTTTCGCAGGTAAGTCTATTTCCAAATGAATTAAAATGATTTATGGTTGAAGTAAAGGAAATAACTGTATTATCTTGTTTCAAGTGCATAGTATTTAATCATTTTTATTTTAACGGTCAGATCATCACTCAAATTAATACATCTTTATAAGTTATTACTTTTATATCAGTTTTTGCAGAGTCTTGCCTGTATGCTGACTTATTGCTAGAAAGTGGAAGGATAAATCATTCAGTATTCTTATAGGTACTGACTGAATCCATCAGTACCACATGTTACATATCCATGTAAAATCAATCTACAAAACACACAGCATCACATGCACAAGAGAGGGATGACGTCTAGGACTGCTGCTACGGTGAATGAAGCAAGCGTGGCTAAAAGAGGGCACTCCAGAGTATGGCTCTATTGGCCAACGCGCTGACCAATGAGCTCAACTGACTGTGACGTAGGAAGCGCGACAGGAAGCTGGTGGGGGAGTGTAAACAAACAGATTGTCGGTAAAACGGCGAATACGTCCTTCTTAAAAATGAATGAGCGTAGAGCGTCTTCCTGCTCACGTTTCAATGAAAACACCAAGTCTAATCCCTCCAAAACTGATTCCAAAGCTGAGTCAAACGAGAACTGTTCAATAGTTGTTGCCATCTTCCCATTTGTGCTTTCTCCAGCGTCGCGTCATGCCCTCAAAACCCCGCCGACTTTGCAACCAGAAATTCAAAACGCATCTCTGCGTTGTGATTTGCCACCCAGTTCTAGGGTCCTAGGCATTGTTTGAGGGTAGACCAAGATGACAGGCAAAAATAATTTTTGCCGCTGGCGTGGCGGGTTGGGCTTGTTTAATAGGCTATAAAAGATGTCTTTTGATCGCGGTATTAATCTAGCTGCTGTTTACCGCCCGCAAAAAAAAAAGTAAATAATTAAAAAGAAAAAAAAAGAAAGAAAGAAGGTGTGTATTTGCAGCAGATTCAGGGTCATGTCTGCTAGGAAGTTTGTTGGTCGTGGCTGTGAACGCACGGAGGATCCATCACCTTCACGCTCACCACATGATGCCAATGAAGTGTGGAGGAGAACAGACTGTTTCCCCCTTTTATACCACAACACTTTTAATACACCCTCATAAAGTAGTTCTAAGTTAGAAACACGTTCAGTTGTCATCTGGAACAAGTCAGATACGTTGATAGCCGTTGGAGATAAGTTATTGATAAGTTAAGCATAAGTTATGCAGAAGTTACTCATAGGTTTTGGTTAAGCTAGACACCACACATTATGAGTAACTTACACTTAACGTATGTCAACGATCAGAGAACTTACCTGTTCCTTATGCCCCATGTATAGGGCTGGGTACCGAACATCGGTTCTTTTATGGTACCGACCGAAATGCTTCGGTTCTACCGAGTATCGTAACATGCCTCGTCTTTCGGTACCAAGTTTCGGTGATTGGCTGTAACACTTAACATGATTGCGTCATCCAGGAAAAATACACAGGTGGTCACGCCTACAGCCAGGGTTCATGTGCATCTGTTGTGAG